ATTTTGGTATCATCAGCAAATTTAAACAGGTTGCTTTTCACCCTGCCTCGCTGTGGCAAGGACCAAGTCCAGCAAGGCATTTCCCCTGGTGGGACTGTGCACCTCCTGGATACATGGAGGTCCTGTATCCCGGCTAGGAACCTACGTGAGCTGTCGGACCTGGCTGACTGCTTCTCCCAGCAGATGTCTGGGTAGTTTAGGTCACCCACGACAACCGCACCCCTTGTCCTTACAGCTTCCGTGAGCTGACCTGAGAATTCCCGGTCCAGCTCGTCCCCCTGGTGAGGCGGTCTGTAGTAGACGCCCACTATCAAGTCCCTTTCCCCAGCGCCCCCCCTTGCATCCTTACCCAGAGCGCCTCATTTTGCCCCTCCTAACCCCAGCCTGATTAGTGAGGACGTGCGTTGCTCTTTAATCTTCCCCCAGAGGCGCTGGGTGTTAGGGCTGGGGCTGGGCTGTGCCAATGCTGCTGCTGGCACCAACCCCGCAGGGTCCTGGCTGGAGGGTCTTGCCCCTGCACTGACGCTGCACTGGGGCAGGAAGGGATTTCCCCCCTGCTCAGACTGGTGGAACCGGGGGGGTTTCCCCTTCCTCTGCAGCGGGGGCACGGCCTCGTCCTGGGCTCTCTGCAGCGCCCACGACCCCCTGGCAGCAGCAGGACGTTGGTGTCCGCGGCCCCCCTGTATCCCAGGGGCAGGGGCAGGGGCGATGCCTGGGGCTGTGTCAGGGGGCGACTAGTTTTGTGAAAAGATCACATTATGGTTTATCTGGGCTGGTTGGGACAGGGCTGATCCTGCCTCAGTTTCCAGCTCCGGAGCCCTCGAGGGTCCTTCCCCGGGGGCTGCCTCTGAGGGAGTTGACCAGAAGAAGCCGGAAGCGCGGCGCTGGCCAGACGGCTGCGTCGTTAGTTGATATGTTGGATTGGTAATGCTGTGTCCTAAGACTCAGGCGTATTTCCAAGACTGCTTTTTAACCATGCCAATGCGTCACTGCAGTCGGCAGGCTGCTTCATGCCAGGCGTGCTTTACAAATGCCCTGGAAACTCACTCTCATTAGGAGAGGTTGACAGGCCTTTGGGTTTTGCTAGATTTGGGAGTGGTTTATTTAACAGGAGCCTAGACTGAAAGCCATGTTGTGATTACGAGACATGAGCAGAAAGATATATGGAAGTGGTGTTTTTGGCACTTGGACAACCATGAAGACAACCAGATCTGGAAACCTGGACTGCCAGGGAAGAGGAGATGCCGCCCTTGGTGCCTTGCTGCGTACTTGCAGTCTGTGCCTGCAGCGGCTTTCAGGGTCAGTCCTAAAAGCAGCCCCCGCCCAGCGTGCACCTCCTGTCCCCGCCAGCACGTTCTTGCACAGCCCTACGAACCTTTACTTGGAAACCTCGTGACTGCTGCTCCTGCTTTCCCGTCTCCTGTTGCTGAGACGGCGCGTCGTGGACCGAATCAAGACCCCGGAGCCGCTCACCCCGCATGGAGATGCGTGGCCGAGCTGCAGCAGAGTCCGTTGATCCTGAATTGGCCTCGTCAGCAACCGGCAGACCCACAGAGAAGACAATCGTGGAAGACAATTGTCCTCAGTTGTGAGGATGGACGAAGAAGGACAAGGAGGAGCAAAGCCACGTGGATTCCTCCCCAGGGATGCTGGTAGAGGACCGAGGCAGTGTTATGATCTCTACCGTCGGTCGGGTGCAGGGATGATATCGGGTCTATGCTGATGAAGGGTCTTCTCCAGGGCCTTGCCATAGAGCAGCAGTGGGCAATTATATGGGCCCTCAGGCTACATAGGGAGTTTTGGGAAGCAAAGCATGGGCATCACTGCACCTAGATCCTCCCTGCCCAGCGCCCGTCCACCTGCCCCAGACACCTCCAGTGATGCAGAGTCCCCCCCTGCTCTGGCATCTCTCCCTGCTCCAACAGCGAAGTTTATTTTAACGGTGAAGAAGTTCGAAGCACTTCGGCGCTGGCTCTTGGTACCCCGCTGTGAGCAGGGGCTGCAGGCACAACCGACTGTGCAGACCTCCCACCCCTCGCCTGCCTTGCCACGTTACTGCATTACACTGAGGCAGTCCCTGGGGGCCAGATGCAGCTCCCATGGTGCTCCCCACTTCCGGCTCTGTCCCTGAGCTTCTTTGCCCAGACTCAGTCCCGGGGTCTCTGTGCTCCCCTCAGGGTGCTTCCCCTTCAAGGCAGACCCTTCTCAGGCCTCCAAGTCTCCAAGTCAGTTCCCAAAAGCAAATCTCTAAATGCCATGTTCAAGCTATCCGGAGCTTCATCTGCCCAGCCTTGACCCCCCTTTTCTCTACCGGAGCCCACGGTCCTGATCCACTGCCTCGGACCTCAGCTCCTGGGCTTTGGCCCTTTGCATCTGTGCCCAGAGCTGGTCTCATCCTGCAGAGCACACCTGGTGCCTGCGATGGGGCCTCCACACCTCCCCGGTAGCCGCAGCCCAAACCACCGATGCAGCTCGAATACAAAGCACCAACTCAGACGGTCACAACTCAGGTCTCCACTACGGCTCCTAACCCCGGTCTGGGCTGTGGGACGGACTCAGCCCCAGAGCGACGGGGTGACTCTGCCCCCGTGCAGCCCTCCCCGCCCCTCTCGGCTCTCTCCTCACCCCGGGGACCCTCCTGCTGGAGCCCGTGCCTCCCTCCCACGCCGAGCCCAGCTCCTCACGGGTCTGCAGAGCTGACACTCCGCATCAGGGCGCAGACGGGGTGAAAGGGGCTGCAGAGGAGGTAGATGCTCAAAGGGAAGTTTATTGATTCAGAGTAGGGACGTGGCGGCCGAGGACACGGCTCCGTGGGGAAGCAGAGAGGCCAGATCCACCTGATCCCGGGGCCCGGGAGCCGTCGTGGCGCAGACGAGCGCTGCCCTAGGCCGTGAGTTTGCAGACAAACGCGTTCTTGTCGTCGCAGGAGGTGCTGCCCCACGTCCGGTACCCTGGGAAGAGGAGCAGGGGAAGCACTGGGGCCGATTCTCCCTGCCTCACGCTCCTCACCCCACAGAGACACGGTGGCTGGGGTGGACATGGTCCACGAGCAGCCGTATGCTTATGGTTCGGCCGGCTACATCTGGGTCCCAGGCCAGCTGCAGGCAGAAGGCCGATCCCCACCGAGGGTGCAGGACCGGGGAGAGGGGCCATGTGGGGACAGGACACTGCCTGCCCCCCTCATCCGTGCCCCGGCCCCGCACCTGCTGCTCACCTGAGTCTTCCTCCAGCGTGACGCAGAGCTGTTTTCTGGGAGAGACCTCATCCGAGTCCGAATCCGAGTCGTCATACAAGTCCTCCGAGCTGTCCTTGTGCCAGGCCTCATAGTCTGTGGCGGAGCCGTCCGTCCATTGCCAGCGCTGGCCCTGCAGACACGGGGTGGGAAGGGAGCGGAGATGCACTGGGACAAACACGGGGGCAGCCTGGCACGACGGGCAACCCGGTACCGAGGACTGGAGGGCTGGCAGTGCACGGCCATATTTAAAAGGGGCTCTAGAGCGGACGTGGGGTCATACCGCTGTCCTGGGAATACTGGTCGAAATAATAATAAAATCCAAAATTGCTCACCACGGGGCAAACACGACAGGCTGGGGAGGCATCAGCATGGGGGTGTGAACAGAGCAGAGATGCTGCTCACACAGACACGGTTTGCAAAGGAACAGCCTGGGTCTGACGGGGGCAGGACGGGCACGGGCAGGGCGGGGGGCCAGGGTGCAGGAGCCCATGGTACAAGGTGGCACTTCCCTGCCAACGACCCCCTGAGCCCGGGAGAGACGGGCCCTCTGGAGCTGGGGCCTTGGCAGCCAAAGCTGGGCAGACACCGGGCACTCACCCCCGCCGGCAGCCAGAATCCGATCCAGACGTCGTCGCCATCCTCGTCCTCGTCACTGTGCGGCTGATGGCGGCTGACGAGGGCGGCGACGGCGCGGTGCTCCCACTTGTCGTGGAGGGAGGCGAGGTGGCTCCCCTTCCCCAAGCGCCGACACCGGGTCTGTGACGAGGACGAGGCGGCTCAGCCCCACGGGCAGCAGGAGGGGAGAGAGCGGGAGGCCAGGGGCCAGGCTGACAGCGGGTGCCAGAGCACAAACAGGGGCTGAACCCCGGGGGCTGATAGATTTGGGACAGCAAGGATGGCTCTGGCTGACGTGCCAGGGACATGGGCATGACAAGGCCAGGCCGGCAGGTGCTGCGAGGTGGGGCAGAGCCGTCACCGCCGCACCGAGAAGGCAGGTGTGTGGGGCGCCGGCCGGAGCTGTGCACACAGCCGGCGGAGGAGGAGGAGGAGGGCAGTGTCCCTGCAGCACGAGCCCCTCGGGGCGGCTGCTTCACTTCCCCGCTGCCCCCGGGAGTGTCCTGGTGCCCCCGAGCCCGCTGCGTCCTGGTGCCGCACCCCTCCTCGGCGCCCTCCCCGCAGCCCCGGCCCCGGGGCAAACTCACCTCGGCACGCGTCCAGCTCAGCTCTTGGGAGAAGTACCTGTAGCAGCCGCCGTCGGAGTTGTCCCAGCCCTGGGGACAGCCTGCGCCTTGAGCCCCTGCCCAGCCAAGGGGACAGGGGAGGAAGACACCGTGGTGAGAGGCCGTTTCAGGGCCAAACTGCTGCCTTCCTGCAGCCCTGACAGCACCGGGGTCCGTGCGGGCATGCACGGCGGCCAGGCACCCCAGCCCTGGGGCTGCAAGACTCAGCGGGGCTCCCCCCGGTTCCCCAGCAGCCCCCGAGCCCCAGCCCCGGGCAGGGGACCCAGCGGGGCAGGGGCATGTCAGGGGAGCCCTGGGTTTGCAGCTCCATCTCCGCGGGGCAGCTCCGGGCCCCTTCGTCCGCCGGCCCCCGAGGTCGTGGACTCCCAGCGCCAGGATGGATCCCAGACCCGTGGGTCCCTGCACCCGCCCTCCACAGCCTGGGGCAGGGGAGCCCCGTGCAGCCCAGCTCCTCAGGCCCCGGGAACTCGGTCTCACCCGCGCCCGTCCCATTGCCCCTGGGCTGGTGCTGAGCTGCCCGATGGGGCTGGGTGAAGGGACCTGGGGGGGAAGGGGCTGTGGGGACCCCGCTGTGCTGGTCTCTCCTGCCCAACAGTCCAGCTCGGAGCAGGGGACAGGACTCACCGGCCAGCGACAGCTGGAGCATGAGGCAGCCGAGGAGGCCGAGGCTGATGCCAGCGACCGGCCCCATCTTCTCACGTCCCTGGGGGGAACGCGCGGGAGACGACGGGCGATGGGGTGGGTGCAATGAAGGCAGCCGGGCCCAGGCCAGGAGCTGAGCATTGGCGGCAGAGGAGAGATGGTGAGGGGCACTGTGCCCAGGCCCCTGGGCTGGAGGGGACAGGATCCGGCCTCCCGGGTCATGGGGGAGGTGGCAGCCCTGGGTGCAGGGCCTGGGAAAGAGATGCCCTCACCTGTCCGTCCGTCTGTCCGTTTGGCCCACGGGGTGCAAGTGCTGGGGCCAGTCGTCGGCTGCTGGGGATTTATAGTCCCGTGCAGGGGAGGAGCCCGCAGCCCCGCTGCACAGGACCCGGGCGTGCAAACCTGTCACCAGATCCCAAAGCAAACAGAGGCAGGAATCCGCCCGCCCCAGCCAGCCTCCCACGGCCCAGCCCGGCCTGGGGAGAGCCACAGTCCCCCACCCGTGGCCCCCCGCTCCAGCAGCAAGTCCCTGCCGAAGCCCCGTGCCCAGGAGACCGTCCCTCACCCACAGGGCCCGGGCGCTGCGGCCCCAGGTGTGACCGCGAGGCGGTGGCAGCAGCGGTCAGAGAGGAAAGCAATGGTCAGGCTGGTGATGCTGGCGCCTGGGGACCCACGGGAGGTGCGAACATAACGGGAACAGGCACTGCCTGTTGTCCGAGTCCAAGCGGTGACATGGCAGAGCGGGGAGGTGACAAGCAGCACAGCAGCAGACCCGGCAGAGAGCAGAAAATAGGGGTGCAAATCAGATACAGAGCATGGAGCAGGGAGCAGAAAGCAGAGCAGCAGAGAGCACAGGGCAAGAAGCCAAAAGCAGAGCAGCAGATCGGGCAAGAGGGGGCCAGCCAGGGAGAAGAAAGCGGAGCAGCAGACTGGGCAGCAGGCACAGGGCTGGGAGCAGAAAGCAGAGCCGCAGACCGGATCCCCAGCCGGCAGAGCAGGGGAGTCGCAGCAGTCTCCCCGTGGGCCCAAACCTCAAACGTGCGCCTGCAGAAGGGACGATGGGCCGTGGCGGCCCGTGGTGGCAGGGCTGGACACTGAGCCACGAGCCCCGCTGCCGTGTTACCCAACCGGCTCCCAAGTCTGTTCTTAAGGCACCAGGTCATGGGCAGTCTCGCCTAACGGTCAAGCCACAGAGGGAAGGCAGGAGCCAGGGGCTGAGTCAGGATTTGGGAGGGAAACCCAAGGGCAGAGTCCAAAACAGGCCCGAGCCGGGGCTGGGACTGGCGTGCGGAGCCAGAAGGCCCGAGGGACAGTCTGCAAGCCAGAGTCCATGGGATTGCACCGGCTTTGCTGGATCTGGACCGAGCCCAGACCTCGGACAATTGGGCAGGCCCAGTTTCCTTCCACGCTCGCTGCCACGTTCCCCATGCAGAGACCTCGCTGCTCAGGTCTTCCTGGCTGACCCCGCACTGACTAATCCCTTACAGTAACTGCCCGCCCAAGAGATTTTTATTCCCCTCCCTCCGCTCCCCGCAGGGGTTTTGCAGTCGACGGCACCGTGAATCCAGACAGACCAGTTTGTAGACTCCAGGTTCCTTTTAGTTATTGCTACCTGGGTGTAACAGGGCAGGAAAAGCAGGGGGGCACCTCACACCAGCTGGCAAAGGGTCTCGGCACTGCAGACTGCATGGGGAGGAGCCGGCTTTGAAGCTGGGATCCAGTCATTGATTTATGTGTCTGTTGATTATCGTAGAAGCAGGGAATCCCAGGAAAGTCAGGCTGGAAGGGAGCAGTGGGGTCACAGCCAGTCCAAGCCCCAAAGCAGGATGAGCCCTGTCTAAACCAGCCCAGCAACAGGACATAGCCCCTGGCATTGCCCCGGCCCCTTCGATTTCTGCAAAAGCTCGGGGCAGCTTACAATAAAGGAGAACCATGGGGCACTGCATGGAGGCAGGCTCCAGCATAAAGCAGGTAGCGCTGTGGGCAGTGCCAGGGCTGGGGTGGGGTGGGGTGGGAGCGGCTGGGCCACTCCCTGCCTTGTGCTTGGCTTTCCCCAGGATTTGCAGACAGGCTCGGTGACGCCTGCGCGCCGGCTGCTTTGACCGCAGGGCTGGTGTCTCGGGCTGGTCTGACCCAGCAGCACTTGCAGGGCACTTGGTGTGGGACCCAGGGTGGGGTTTGCAGGGCCCATTCCCCCGAGCAGCTCGCAGGCAGCTGGGAGGCAGAACCGAGGCTAGCCGAACTAACAGAACAGCAAGAGCATTAAAAGGACAGGGGGTGTTAATGCCTCTGGAGTGAAGAGTTTAGCAGGAATCGGGGAGATGCCAACGAGCCGCGAACTCCCCCAGTGCTGCCCAACTAAACATGTCGCTGCCGCAGCAAAGCCGCCAGTGTTGATCTTTGGGCGGAGCAGGAAGATAGGGGTGCAAGTGCCCCAATGCACCCCCTGCACCCACCCCTGCTCCTGGCCCGGGAGAGCACAGAGCTTCTCATGGCACCACTCCCTGAACCCCCACATCGGACCCCCAGAACAGGCCCTCCTTGAGGGCTGCCAGGGGCAGATCAAGGGGCTGCACTGGGGCACTTCCCCCCCCCC